GGCCCGTCAGACGCGCGCGGCGGGGCGCGGCGGCAGCGGCGGCGGCATGTGAGGCGGGCCGGGCCGGAGGCGGCGCGGGAAGGCGGGCGAGGCCCGGGCAACGCTCACGCCGGCCCCGCCCCGCGGAGCCCGCTGCGCCTGCGCGGCCGCCGCGGAACACAGAGCCCGGCGCGGCGAGAGGGGCGCGGCGGCGCCTCGCGCGCGGCTTCTCCCGGGGGAAGCGGAGCGTCCGCGGGCCGGAGCAGCGCCGCCGGAGGACGAGAGCAAGCCGCGGGCGGAGGAGGCCCTGCAGAAGCCGCGCCCGGGCTCCCTGCGCACCGCCGGGCCTCCCCGCCTTTTCCATTTCGCTTCGCGGTGTTCACAACGTTGCGGCCGAGCGTGGGCAAACGGAACCGGAGCAAGCGCGCAGACGCGCATGCAGAACCGGGGAACGGATGGCGCAAGTGCTGCGCAGGAGCGATCCCAGCCGCGCTGCGCCGATCTTGCCAGTGCGACTCTCCGGCTGCATGGGAGCAGCCCCGCGCAGCCTTCCTCGACCCCGAAGTAGGGATGATTCCGCTCCCCCTTCCAGACGATTGTTTTGCTCAGGTCGGCGAGCACACAGGGATCTGCAGTCTGTATACCTCCGTGGTTCTTACCCACTATTGTCGCCCTTCTAATCCCAGCTGAGAAAGAGGGCTTTACCTCTGACAGCTGCCAAAGGTAAGAACGGGTTCGCGCGTAACTTTACCCTAAGGGCACGCAGGCGCACCCGGGGGACAAAAAACCGAAGGATCTTGTTGCAAATATCTAAGTATCTTTTTCACAAGCTAAGCAGCTGTTGGTTCCACTGGACGGCTTGTCTTCGGATGAGCGACACGTGGAACCAAACAGGAAAATGAACACCCGATTATACCCTGGGAATCATCCTGGTGTGTATCTGCAGGACTTTGCTTTCTGGGTCAATCCAAGGCTCCCCATTCCCATGGCTGCACAAGTGTGGGTGAATAGTAATTTAAGAAATGTGCAAAGCTTTGCAAAACTTGGCGGGAGGGGGGTAATTTTAAAAGGGTCGGCAACTAGGGCCAACTGGGTGGGTGCCGCTGCGCCATTTGGCACCCAGATGGTGGAACGGGGTGGCGGCAGGAGTCCTTTGTGATCCCAGCAAGAAAAATGTCGAGAGAGAGAGTTCCAGCAAGCCTAAAACCCGGAGCCAAGGGGCTCCCCTTGCTGTTTTCCTACTGATACCCAAAGGCGGACTGAGGGGGCGACGACTTATGGGTAGTTCTGTGGTCTGTGAGCCACAACTTGGCTAGTTTCACCAATGGTGTAGCTTATTGCCAGGGTCAACTGGTGTGAATCTGTCCGGTACTTTCAGAGTGAAAAAGCAATACAGAAACCGGACCATTTTCACAGTGACTGGAAGAGGGGATAAGTGTGCCAGGTAAACACGTTCAGCCAATGATCGGCAGGTGGCCAGGAAGGTCCCCCGCTTTACCATCATTGGTGGTACTGGAATGCGCTTTATGTGGGGCTGGTCTTGAAGACGGTCTGGATGCTTCAACTGGTCCAGAATCGAGCTGCCAGGTTGTTAACGGGGGCCGGCAGGTATGAGCACATAACTCCAGTCCTTTTCCACCTACACTGCCTTCCAATGGCCCGGGCCCAATTTAAGGTGCTGGGGATGACCTATAAAGCCCTAAATGGCTTAGGGCCTGGCTACCAGAAGGAGCGTCTCCTTCCCTATGTGCCTGCCTGCCCCTTAAACTCTGGGGCAGAGGCCCTTCTCCAGGTGCCCTCCCTGAAGGAGATGAGGAGGGTGAAGAAGGGCCTTTTCTGCGGTGGCACCCCAGTTGTAAGACCTGAACGTTTTAATTGGTTTAAAGTTAAATTAGTTTAACTTAAACGTTATTAGTTTAATGTTTAACATGATTTAAAATTTAACATTATTAGTTACATTTTATGACACCATGTTTTAAATTTTTTACATTTGGTATTGTTAAACCATCCCGAGACTTCGGTAATGGGACAGTCCAGAAAAGTGTTAAAATAAATAAGTAAGTAAGTAAGTAGGTGGGGCACAAAGAGTGTCCTGGAGTCTTGCTTTACAGGGCTGTGCTAGTTTGTTCCATAATTTGCCCTGCAGCCACCTTGTAAATCGGAATGGTCATGACAAACTGAGTCTGAAGAAGAGGCAAGGCCGACACACTGTTTCTGCCATAAGAGCTGGATAAAGGGTGTCAGTTTCAGGCAGAATAGCTGCGGGGAAGGGACTTCATTCTCCGATCCTCCCTGCCCCGGCGTGGTGGAACCTGCTGGAACAAATTACATGTACTTGGCCTGTTTCATGTGTGCAGGGACTCAGAGGAACTGCTCCTGCTTTCCCCAAATGTATGGTCAGTAGTCAGACTATTAAAAGGTATTTTTAAAGGCGACAGTGACACACGCGCTGGTAACTTCCCAATTAGATTTCTGCAACGCGCTCTACGTGGGGCTGGCCTTGAAGACGGTCCGGATACTGCAGTTGGTGCAGAATAGAGGTTGCTGATGGGGACCAGGCGTTGTTCTCATATAATCCCAGTTCTCCGTCAGCTCCACTGGCTCCCGATTGAAGTCCAGGCCCAATTTAAGGTGCTGGTTATGACCTATAAAGCCCTAAATGGCTTGGGCCCTGGGTATCTAAAGCAGCGCTTGCGTCCATATATGCCCTCCCGCCCCAAGATTGGCGGAGGAGGCCCTCCTCCGGGAACCCTCGGTGAATGATATTAGCAGGGTGAGCACCCGGAGGAGGGCCTTCTCTGTGGTGGCGCCCCACCTATGGAATGCTCTCCCCAGAGAGGTCCGCCTGGCGCCGTCGTTATTTGTTTTTCGGCGCCAGGCGAAGACCTTTTTATTTAAAACTTATTTTAAGTGTTAATTTATTATGTAGGATTTAAAAAAAATTTAAGCCGAGATGCACCGAGTTTTAATATTTTTAGTGTATAACTTTGTTTTTGCATAATTTTGTATGTTTTTGTTGTGAGCCGCCCCGAGGCTTTGTTGCAATGGGGGCGGCATAGAAATGTTTTAAATAAGTAAATAAGTAAGTAAATAAATAAAAAATTGGATCTTTCATTTTCCTCTATTAATCTTCAGTGTGCTGTTCACCATTTCCTGTTTGTACTCTTCCACCTGATCCAGCAAGAGGGTTCCTATCCACATGTCTTGATGGCTGGGAGTCCCTTGAATCCAACATTAAAATAATTGAAATGGGGAATATGCATTTCAGTACTGCAACTGGACCCATGGGAGGAGGAGATGCCATTAAAACCCATTCAAGGAAAATTCCTGGGCGGTTGTTCAAACGGGATTTGTTCCAAATAAAGTATCGAGGCTTAGCACTCATTGCAAATGTACTGCACATTTTTATATGTGTCTACTCAGATGTAAGGCCTGAGGATTGCGTCCAGAGACGTGCCAGTGCCTTTAAAAATAATATCGACTGATGGAGTGGATTCCCTATTGATTCAGTTCCAACCTCCTTATCCAAGGTTAGAAGAAAAACTCCCCAGGGATCGCAATATTAATTATAACGGAGAGGAAAGTGGGCGGTGCATCCCACTGCCCTCATGGGACCCTTCTGGCTTTACCATCCGCCCCGATTTAGGTTGAAATTTTTTTTTTTTTATTTAAATAAAAACATACTACAAAGGTACAAAAAGGCCCAAAAATTGCAACATTACAAAAATAGAAAGTACCCCATCCGTTATTTACATCCGTTCAAAATGCCAAATGTACACAGATTTACAAGATTCCCAGGCTTTACGCATCAAATGTACAAAAAGAACTTTGTATAGACTTTTCCTGATAGCTTCATGCCATGTGTCTGAGCAGCATGTATGAGTGATTACGGACATTACGTTATCGGGGCATGCGCCCCACTCAACCACGGCCATAATTTCCTCCACCTACTGGGCGGCATCCTCCCTTTTTCCTCGCGGCTCAACCAAAAAATCTTCTCTTGGACAAATTTGACTGAGCCGGCCACGTCAGCCACCTTTTGTGTCTTGATCTCTCTGTGGCGTTGGAGGGACAGCGCCAACAGAACGTACAGATTTATCAGCCTAATTGTGGACCACGGTACAGTCCAGTACGACTTGGGAGCCGTGGTCTCTCTCCACCGCCGCTTCCTGGGCACCCTCCTCCTGGGTCCTTTCAATGGAGGAGTGGGTTCTGTGCCAGACACGACCGATTCCCAGTCCTGGGAGCCCAGGTCTGGCCAGTCCAGTGCTTCAGACACCGCCTTCCACGTGGCCCGTGCCGTGGGGCAATCGCTGACAAAGTGCCTCACCGTCTCCTTTTGCACTGTCCCGCTCGCGACAGCCCCGCTCTTACACTGCAGTCTGGGGCAGGCCTGCGCCCTCTCGGGAAGCCAGGGTCTGGTCCCTTGCAGGTCATACACCTGATGATACAACCTCCACCTGATGTCCCACAGCCGGAACGGAACCCTCCTGTCTTGAAAATATTCTATGGGGTAAGTCTGTTCCCTCAGGTATCGCGAGAGGCTCTCCCTCCTCGCTCTCTTGACGACCTGCGGTCTGAAATAGGCCACCTCTAGCAGCTCTCTATACACCGCTTGTTTGATACTCCGCAGGTCCCCCCGGCTAGTACCAAACCATTCTGCATGGACTTTATGCTGCTTAATGAAGCTATAGAGTTCCCTCAGATATTCGGGGCCCGTGCACCGCATCTTGGCCGAGACGGTAAAGTCGAGGGAGTGCTCCCCCCACCAGGTTTCCGCCCACGGTTTACCCACCCAGTGCTGCGCAAACAGGACAACCCACATGTGAGGTTGGTCCCCTCCCTCCTCCCATTGAGCGTATTTACCAAAGTTGTAACTCAGGAAGGTGGTGAACATCCTCAGACTGAGAGCCGGGAGGTCCAAACCCGCCTGGTCTATCTGTCTATAGGCCACCGCCCTCGCCAGAGGGAAGGTGGCCATTCCCCAGAGGAATTTGAAGAGCTCCTTCTCCAGTTCCTTCATCACGGCTCCCGGAGGGGGGTAGACCACCGCTATGTTATGCGCTACCGGCAACACGTACGTGCGTACATAAACCGCCTTTTGATACACGGTCAGTTGCCACTTCCTCCACATCCCAATTTTTTCCCTAAACTTTTGAAGCCAAGCGAGCCAGTTCCTCTTCCACCCTTCCTTGGCTATGGAGTAGTAAATCCCCAGAATCTTCACCTCCTCTACCTTGTGCTCATTCCTGCCCTCTCCCTCTTGGTCTGTTTCCATGGGAGCAATCTTAAGCTGCTCGTCCTCGGGATCAAAAGAAATAAGGCAACGCCCCGATTTAGGGCTTCTATCCATTGCAAAGGCAAGGCAGGTAAGGCAGAGGGATGCCACAAACACCTGTAGCTGGCATAATGAGCCTCCCACCCCCTAGAATCCCATCTTCTGCACAGCTACTAAAAATCCATAAGCCCGGCTGCCCTATAAGGGCAACAGGTAAGCTCCACTGCCCCACCCTGCTGACTGGCTTTCTGCATTTCGGCAGTTCCGGGTGCTCTTCGTTGTGGTCTCTGAAAAACGGCCTCTTAATAGTTCACAGGCCACTTTCATGTGGCGCACTGGGATTGGCCACGTTGCCAACCCTGCAGCCCTAGTCTGCCTAGGCAAATCGTAGGCCGGGTTCAGACGTGACAACAAGCCGCGGTGGGATCCACTGTGGTGGTGTCTGTTGTGTGAACCCTGTCACGGATTTACCGTGTGGTACATTTGGCTTCTGTGGAACCGTGGAGAGAAATCGCAGTCTGTGCTATGGTTTCCACGTCACCACGGCTTGTTTGTGTGAACCCAGAAACCTGGTTTCCACACTGCTACCACAGAGTCCAGGACCCTACAGCCTCCACTGTCCAGGTTCGCCTAGCGACTGATGCGTCGGCTCGAGCCATGCTCCGACTGGCTGCTCCACATCCCCTCCTGCCTCCGGTTTCTCCACTGCTCTACAGATGCCACCTGTGGCATGGAATTGCACCGGCGGTAGAACACCATGCCACCTCCAGCAGGTACCCCGGAGGCAGCCTTGTATGCATCGGATCACAGTGGTTTGCACAGGCTCCACAAGAGCTGTGGGGCCACGGCACAGACGCTTCCCCCTTCCCGCTGCCCCACAAGCCGCTCTCAGAGCCCCTGGCACGTTGCTTCAAGGTAGCTGTGCAGGTATCTTTCAACGCAGCTCAAGAGCAGGCAGCGCCAGGTCTGGTGAGCAGTGGAAGTGGGGCACCCGCCTCTGGTGGCTGGATGCACCCTAGCACGGAGTGGGGTGCCATGGGGTGCCATCTGGGCACAGCTGCAGGGCAGAGTTTGTGCATCAGCCAGAGAGCGATTGATCCCACAGCACCTGGCATGACCCTCTTTCCCTGCACCTGAGTCCTGTGAAGCTGCAGAAATAAAGGCATGTTTAGCAATGGTTGGGGGGGGGGGGCCGGGGGGGGGGGGGGGGCGGTGGGGAGGGGCGAGGGGCAGCGCCGGAGGGGCAGAGGGGGTGAGGGGCAGTACGGGCGGGCTCCGGGCTCAATAGCGAATCCAAGGCTTTCACTTGCTGTATGCAATCAATCCATCTCATTTGTTTAGCATCTATACCCGTCTTTGAGTCCCCTGCCCTCAAGGAACATGAGCAGAAGGTTCAAGAAGGGAGATGCCAATGCAAAGCTTTCCATCTCCAAAGAGTCCCGTGTTTTCAAAAAGCAAACACAGGTGACCCCGAGTATGGATTTCCCACGTGTTTGGTCCTCAGCGGCTGGCTAGCAGGCAGGGAAACCAAGCGCACCTCTTGAAAATCTGCTGTTTGGAGAGCTATCTTCTCCTAAAGTCAGAGTGCATAACCTTTTTGGTTCGGAGGGCTGTGCATGGTGGCTTGCAGGGCCTCAGAGACCACACATTAGCAATGCTGATCCGGTTCCTTTCTCCTAGCGAACTGCAATTCATATTACTGGGGGAACAGTCTTCTCTCCACCCCTTCCTCAGCAATCCCAGTGCAAAAGGATCTCACCCCCATCCTTAGACAAATCGCACTTTCTTGCTGGACAGACAAATATAAAAACAAACTACGACACCACTGAGCATCATTTGGATGCAACTCGGGCTTTTTCTTTGAGATGATCTACAAGAGAGAAAAGCAAGCATACAAAGTCTAAAGCAGCAATTATGTTAGAACGATGCAGACGGATCTTCTTAACCAAATAGTTATTCAGTTAAGAATCATGATTGTTCATTAGTCTTAGCCGGTCGTTCAGTGCTGTTAAGCTATGTGGCAGCTTACAGAATAAGCAAAAGAAAGCAAAAAACAGGTCCCTGCCCCAGGGAGCCTGAAATCTAAACCATGTGATAGTGACAGTGAAATAATTTGGAAAGCACATGGTAGTTTGGATGGGGTGTGCTTTCTGGCAAGCTCGTTCAGTTCATGACCTAAGCCCTTTTTTAGTGCCAAAATTTAAATGGTTGAATCACTTTGCGCAAGAGAGGAGCCCGTATCTCTCTTTAAACAAGGGGAGCCCCACTTCTTCAGGCTTGGGGGTCGGAGTCTGTTGCAGAGGCACTGCTGGTGCAAAACTCTCGGGGGGCCAAAGGCCAAGAGAACCAACGTACACACACGGTTTAGCATAAGGCGCCTGCTTCCAGTGATGAAGACTTGGGAGAGCCATTTTCACTACAGGAGGGTCATACTAGGGTCCCGGGTGGGCTGGATGTAGCCCATGGGCCAGAGGTTCAACACGAATTTAGAGGAGCCAGTTTTGCCAATGTCTCTTTTTCATAACAGCAGCCATTATTATTCAGAATCATCAGAAAATGTGAAGAAGCTCTCAGAACACAAATGGGATTATAATTTTCCTAGAACGTGGATAGTCTTCAAACTTGTTGAGATACCATCTGAAGAAGAACAAGAAGTAGTGAGCGATGTTGTTTGGCCCAAAACATTCACACCTGGACAACCCAATTTGTTTCTGTGTCTCCAGCAATGCCCCAGTCGTGTCCTTAAATCAGCTTTCCCCAACCTGTTATTCTCCAGATGCTTTGGACCAACTCCCATCAGCATCACCCAGCATGGCCAGTGGTGTGAAATGCTGGGAATTGTAGTCCAGAACATCTGGTGAACACCAAGTTGGAGAAGGATGCCCTAAATCTTCAGAAATACAAATGAACAGTTGCTAACTGTACCGGACCTTCTTCCTATTTCAACGGCTAATGATGGATTTTTTAGCTCATACTTAACAGCAGTGAGTGTCTTTTCAAAACAATCCAGGATTGACCCATTGCTGGTTTATTGTTAGGATGTCAAAACTTGGCACTGGCACTGGTTTAGGATTAAACAACCCAAAGTTTTAACCCAACAATAAACTATAGGTTAAAACTATGAATCTGTCAACCCTTGACATGCAAGAATGCCAGGTTCAGAGGCTCCCACAATGCCTTCCATTCCTGGGTTGTTTGGGATAGTGGAAGCCTGCTTGTTCCCACACACTCAAACCATCCATAGTTTGTTAACTGTGGGTTGTTTGATCATGCAGGCTTGCTCAATGTGTAGTTATTTTGACAACAACGTACGTAGTGTTGCTTATTACGTTTATATACCATGCTGTATTTGTAGATTTCTAGGTGATTTACAAAATGTAAATGACAGGGCCATTTTAGCCCAGTGGTTCCTTCAAAAAACATTCACATTGGCAATGTTAGCAGTTTGAGTGAAGAAATTTCATCCGGTCAGTGGGAAGCTCTTTGGAAGAAAGATGTTAAATCCACTGCTAGTCAAGCATTAAGAGAAAAATGGTATAAGATGTTTTATCGGTGGTATATTACTCTAAAAGATATTGGGAAAATAGATAAGACTTATAATGCAAAATGTTGGAAGTGTAAAAGGGTAGATGGGACCGTCTATCATATGTGCTGGACTTGCAAAATAACACAAACATTCTAGAAACTTGATACATGCAGAAATGCAGAAAATCTCTCAAATTAAGTTTTCTATGAGTCCCAAGCACATGCTTTTGAATTTTGTACCAGAGACCCTTCAAAAAACATGTCAGAGTTATTTAAGTATATGACTACGGCAGCAAGAATCAAAATCGCTTCAAACTGGAAATCGCCAGAGCCCCAACCATTGAAGAATAGAGAAACAGACTAGCAGAGTATGAAGTGAAGGCAAAGCTAACTAATTATGTAAATAGAAAACTGTGAGAGGAATTTAATGACAAATGGAATTTTTTATCCTGCTTAGTATGATTAATGGAGTCCAGGGTAGTTTGGAAGGGGAAAAGGGAAGCATTTAGAATTTGAACTATTTAGAAAATCTGTTAATGTGAAGAATAATGATTCTTTCTTCTTTTTGGCAAACTCATAGATCATGGGAAGATATGAAGAGAGTTGGTTCTGGAGGCTACAATGTTTGGGTTGTGTTGTTTGTCATTCCTTTGGCAACTTCATTTATTTTGTTCACTTTACTGTTTTGTTTATGTTAGTTTCCCCTTTGTTCTCTATTTTTTGTATGCAATTGTATATTTTGGAAAAATAATAATTATTAAAAAAACACAAAATGTAAATTGTCAAAGTTAAAGGAAGAATGTAATCATAGACGCATAAACGAGGCAGGTAAAAACGCAGTTCAGAAGACCTTCAGGCCAAGGAGTTGACCAACGTGGCCTGTCTCCTGGCCAGAGAAAGGGCAACTGCAACTAGAAGTCTGCTGACTTGCCCCGGAAGGACAAGGAAAAACATCTGGTCCCATCCAGTGGCCCAAAACAGAAGGGCCCCATTCAGTCCAGAACACCAGCAAGGGGAGATCAGCCGGTCCAGAAAGAGCTCCCCACTTGGTTCTGGTAGTGAAAAACTCACGGCATCCACCACCCATTAGGGCTTTCCTAGCGCATGACCTTGAAGAAATTATTCCGGGACAACTTGGTGAAATTGTGACACACCTTTTTGAAAGAAAGCGCTTGAGGCCATTAGGCAGAACCACTGCGTTCCGAAGTGTCAGATGACATGGAGGTGAAGAAACACAAACCAACAGAAATGCAGTGGTACCTTGGCTCACGAACTTAATCGCTCCACAACTCTGGTCGGGAGCCAATTAAATTGGTCATGAGCCAAGTCAAGTTTTCCCATACGGTTCAATGTAAATAAGGTTAATCCGTTCTGCAACTATTTTTTTTAATCACAAAAACTTGAAGTAATGTGACAAAGAACAACAAAGAACACGGCCATTTCCCCCGCAACCCCGAGCACGATCACGGCCATCTCCCCTTCCCAGGCGCGATCGCAGTCGCACTCGTGCAAGGAAGACGGGCACGATCGCAATCGTCACCTGATGCGGAGTGCACGACCTTAGGCAAATTTTTCATGAAATTTCTGTTCGCAACCCAATTTGGTCGTGAACTGAGGCATCCATGAGCCGAGGCACCACTGTACCCGTAAGAAACCCCTCCACCTGCTGGGAGTCGGCCATGTCTCTGGGGCACCAGCAAGCTCCCTGCCTCTCTCAATTTGTATTTGAGGTCCTCAGATCTTTTTAAAATGCAAAATGTTGTTTTAACTGAGAGGCTATCTTTATTGAGGTTCGAAACAACCATCTTTATTCTGGTTCTAAAAAGTGGCCTTGTGTTTCGGAGTAGAACAGATGCCCTTCTTGCTTTTATAGTTCGGTTTTGGGGTAACTTGCTCTTCTTTCTGTCTAACCAGTTTGGCTCCTAGGAAATAAGCCTTCTACAATGCACACCACGCTAGACATTTTGGGAACAGGCAAGATTCTCCCCTGGCAACAATTTTGTGAGCCCGCTATCAACATTCTGCCCTATGTGCCGGCCTGCCCCTGAGATTGGAGGCAGAGGCCCTTCTCTGGGAGCCCTCCTTGAAGGAAATCAGGAAGGTAGCTACTCAGAGAAGGGCCTTTTCAGTGGTGGCACCTCGACTGTACAATGCGCTCCCCAGGGAGGTCCGCCTGGCGCTGTTACTTTATTCTTTCTGGCATCAGGTGAAGACCTTGTCATTCTCCTGGTACAGCATAGAAAATTTTTAAATAAAACAAACAAATTCCCAGTGAGTCCACCAACCCTTAACCCTAACTCCATTTGGGGACCCCCAAAGTTTAGGTCCCAAATACTACTCAGGAATGGGGTTAGGGAATAGGAACAGATCTTTCTAAATGTGATTCATGTCCTCTTTCAGTGCATTCCAAATGAGGCCCATTCCATCCCATTCACACATTCAATCGGATGGGTGTGTGCATAAAAAGAAAACCCACTGCTTTTAAAAAGCACGTGCGAGATGACCAGGGACTGGCTTTTGAGCAACGCTGCCTCCTTCTGCCTTTTGTGGACAAGAGCTAGGCCAAATGGCTAGAAGGCCTGGCAACCCCATGGGAATAACCACTTTTTTTTCCATACACAGTCCGGGGGGGGGGGGGGCCTGCGGGGCAGAATTATGGGGTGGCGCTCAGGTGCGTCTGTGCCCAGATTTTCAGGTATGTGGTGGGCAGTTGCTATTGCCTGCGAAAAAGGAGATTTTTTTAAAAAGGCAGTCTCAGACCAGCTTGTAAAGTAGTTCAAGGCAGATTCTAAAGCAAAACTTCTGTCTGGTCCATGTATTGGCCCAAGAGGGGTAGATGGCATGAATTCCTTGAGGATTTCTACTCTAGGAACAAGAGCTGACATTGTACTGACATTCCTTTATTTTGGAACTTTATACAAAGAGCTTGAAACCTTATTAAAATGGACGCATGGGCTATGCTGTAATTACTAAATAAATTTTTATGCGATTTGGGTAATTCATTGAAAAAATGGGGTCTGATCATGGCTTAGCAGTAATGTAACAATGTATAATTTATTTACTTCAGTGTTGTTTATACTTGTCACCTAAATGCTAGATCTTTGTGTTGGAATAAGTTCCTGTTATGTTGCTTTAAAATCATGGTCTGTCATAGCATTGAGGAAAGGTAGATACACATTCTGAGTATTTTTTTTCCTCAAAGAAACTTAGTAGGTTACTTTCAATTCCTCTTTTAGTGTTTCCATATACACATTCCTGCTGCAAGTACATACACAGATTCTCAAGTGCAAAATTTGGCAGCTTCTGTGTAGATATGCAATCTATATTTAAATAAACATATTCTCAAGGCATTAAATAAACATATTCTCAAGGCATTAAATAAACATTCTCAAGGCAAACATATTCTCTTTTAAGACTTCAATGCCTTGAGAATATGTTTTAATTCTGTTTCTAGAATATATTTCCTCTACTCAAAGTAATTTTAAGAGCAGTATAATTATCCAAGCAATTTTAAAGCTTTCGAATTTCCTCCTTGAAAAATCTGTGTCACAGATCTAAGAGCTAAGCAATCCTTACAAGAAAAAAGGGGAAGAAGTTATAGAAGATTGCATCTAAGCAGTAGTTCTGCACTACAATTACCATGATAGCGAAGCAAATTAAAAATGCAAGCGAAATGAGAATGTCTGAAACTTACTTGTGATGTTTACACGCCCGGCTTACTAATATCAGAAATGTGCTGATGGCAAAAGCGAGGCTTTCCACAGTACAACATGCGATGGCGAATCCACACCATTCCACAATCTCCCCAAAGTAGTTTGCGCACGTCACATATTCAAACAGGCCTCCTGAAGGAAAACAACAACAACACAACACACAGCTCGATATGACTGAGGAATCAGTTCGATCGTTTGAAGCTAATGCAAAGTCAGATGTAATTGGAATTACGTGAAATCCATGAGTTTGGGCTTGATCTCACCAAGCTCACTCGGAATGAAACTGTGGCATTTCCATACACGTCACGTCCGACCACATCCCTTGGCAATTGAAGTGAATTAGGACTCAGACCGCGGGAAACCCTTTCCTCACGACGAGGGTTTAAGAAAGACCGTGCGTGCGGATATGGATAAGACTGGCCCTTGCCTCTCCTGCTTTGGTGATCAGAGATTGGCTCAGGGGAGCAGAAGCAGCGGAAGGCATGGGGAAACTTTGATTCAAACCCCGTAGCTGTTTGAATCCCATCATCCCATGAGAACACATCCGGCATTGCTGATTCTTCAGCTGGCCAAACTGGGGCAAGCAGCAATCACCACCTTGGCAAAATATAAATCTTATATATAAATAAAAATCATATAAATATTAAGATAAATAAAAATAAGTCTGCTGGGGAAAATGCCTCTGACATCCCAAACTCCCACCTTTAAGAGGGAGTTAAAAACCTATCTCTTCTGACATGCTTTCCCAGATTAGTTCTCATAAAAGTTTTATTTAATATTTTTTTTAAATCAATGTTAATCTGTTTTCTTAATTTCTTGCAAACTGCCCGGAGCCTGTGAAAATGGGGCGGTGTGTAAGTATCAAGGTAGAAGAGAAACAGAAATCACATGCCTGGCCTGGGTTTCAGGGAAAAGTTTTCAGCATTGAGTTTAGAGGGGCTCAACTTACCTCTTGGAATTTTGTAGCCGGTCTCCCCCGGTTTTCTGAGCTCCCTCAAAATATGATCAGAATGCACATTAATCAACAGACCGCCTAGCCATGCTGCGAAACCTAAAGTAATAATATTATTTAAAAAGTTTTAAAAAAAGCAAAGTAATTCAAAGCGCACAATGGATATTATAGGTCGGCACGACATGGTAACTGGAATGGGAAATGTACCACTGGAAATGTACCACTGGAAAATAAGCCCCTTGTTCTTTTTCACACCTCCAATAAAGAGGCGTTATTTCAGAATTAATACTGTTTAACTTTATTGGTGTATTATACTGCTTCCAAATTACTTTAAAACAATTCTCCTTTACTCTGATCGACAAACTCTTTGTAATTCTATTATTCCATAGTTTCAACCAGTTTACTTGACTAATCTTTCCTCATATCATCTTGCCAACTTTCCAAAAGTCTACACCACCCATATGCCCTTCTATTAGCATTTAATATATTAAACTCATAATTCCTTTCCTATTACTACTATCTTCCTTCTCTGTACTCTCTATCAGTTCTTCAAATTTAGTTAATTTTATTTCACCAAGTGTTTTCCTCATTTCTACCATCCAATTTTGTAACAGAACCATCTTCCAACCTGAACCCTTCAATTCTACACAAATTTGACCGATTTTGTCTTTATTATCCAAAATTTTCACCAGTCCTTCAGTCTGAATATGTTCTGTTCTCTTAGTACTCTCCGTAACTCACCTTTCAAATTCTCGGGAAAATTCTTCATTGCAATTACTGGAGTTAATGGGGAAATTACCGGGCTTAAAATCTTCCTACTACAATGGTACTTCAGCTCACGAACGCCTCAATTCATGACCAAATCGGGTCACAAACAGAAATTTCATAAAAAAATTGCCTCAGTTCACGAACTCCGCACTGGGGGACGACCGCGATCGCGGCCATGTTGCCACATGAGCAGGATCGCCATTGCACCCGTCTTCCCTGCACCATGATCGCTATCGCACCATGATCGTTTGGACTCTCCCTCCAAACAATAACCTCCCCCCACACCTAGGTTAGTGTTCTCCACTGTCCTGTACAGTATTTCGTTATTTTCTTGTTCTTTGTCACTTTGCTTCATTTTTTTCTGATTAAAACAATAGTTACAGAATGGATTAACCTTATTTACACTGAACCTTATGGGGAAATTTGACTTGGCTCACAACCAATTTGGGTCACAACCAGAGTCGTGGAACGGATTAAGTTCGTGAGCCGAGGTACCGCTGTATTCAGTGAGAAATATAACTCACCTAGAATGAAACGTGGGTCAGTACACCAGTCGGAAGGGTATTCTGCATAGTTACTCAGCTTCCGCCCCTGCAAATACCCATTGCATGAACAGAAGATAAAAGCCATCACAAATGTCAGCAATGGCATCGATTTTCCTCCTCGGATTAATAAAGGAAAGATAAATGCCCTAGAATAAACAGGACATGTCAGGTTTCATTTAGTCACAGTGCTCACATTACAGAAAAATATTAGAATGTACACTAGAAACACAAAACAAATCCTTTTTAAACCATACTTTGGCACATTAAAACTGATTTCAGTGAACTGAGAGACTGGAATAAGCGGGATATAAATCTAATTAATAAATACTGCAGATTCCACCTAAAGCAGAGCACTTAGAAGCGAGGTATAAACAATACTATGTTCCCTGCTTCATAGCTTTGAGCGCTAAGAGTACTTAAATGCTTTCTATATTCCTCACAACAGTCTTGTAGGGTAGGCTAGTGTGATTATCTATTTGGGGGAAAGGGGTGAGGAACAGCAGTGGCTTGCCTGAGGCCAAGCTGCAAGTTTGTGGCAGAGCTGAAGTGTACTGCTTTCTACGGACAAAGTATTCTTGCTTCCTTCGGGTTAAGGCTCCGGTTCATACATCCAGGATCCCCAGTCTTTTTGTAGGAGCACATCTGCAATTTGGGAGGTGCAGTGGGCACTCTCACAAAATGGGTGCCATGGTGGGAGTGACCACTCTCAAAGCACCTGTTTCTCAAAGACAAACCGGTGTGGCTGAAAGAAAAGTGAGATGAGCAAGAACTTGTACCCAAGGCAGAGGCATGGACTGAGTTGCAAAGCACATGGCCATTCTTCTGAAACTTCCATTTTTCTGCTCCGAGACCCATTTCACAACAGGCAAACCGAGGAAGTTCAGAGCAAGAAAGGTGGCCAAAAACTGAGTGGCAAGCAGAGGTGGAGAATGCCCGGGGGCACTGGGGAATCCGATACAGTGGTGCTGTGAACTTTGAATATCCCTGAGTTCGAATGTTCCAGAGTTCGAATGCTAAAGTCTAGATATGATTGTTCCAAAAGTCAATCCATGCTTCTAAGTTCGAACTGCAGCTGCAGTGCAAATGGCTGCGGTGCCTTTTCAATCATTTTCAGTGCTGAAATGAGCATTGGTTAGGGTCTGGGAACGGATTAATTCACTTTCCATTATTTCTAATGTGGAACATTGCTTCAGACTTCAAATGATTCAGAGTTCAAACAGCCTCCTGAAAGGAATTAAGTTCGAAGTACAAAGCACCACTGTTTTCCCAGGAGCAACAAAGGAGAAAATGAACAAGTTGGTTGGTACCACTTGCAGGGCCTCGACTCAGTGCGACACCTGTCCGAGGGTGGGAAGCCATTCTGGCAGCAGCCTTCTACGACAGGATGCTGGACCCATGCCAGTGGCTCCATCCATTTCTAGTCCACCCAGGAAGTATTTTCCCGACTCTCACCTGGTTTCCCTAGACACAGAAAGATCCATCCCCCCTCAGAATGGCAGAAAGTCCAGGTCATGCTCTGAGAAGAAATATCCTTCCCAGGCGAGGCTGCAGCTGGGCCATTAGAAGGTGACGTCAGTGAGCTGCTGAGGTTGTCCAAGCCTTCAGTGACAATACGTCAGCCAGATTAACAACCAGCACCCATGGATGCGAACATGTGGGAGCAGTTCTGGCCTGCTGCGGCAAGCTGTGTCCCCTTGTTGCCTGTTTCCCAATCCTCTTTCAAAGAGTCAGTGCTACCCGTCCCTGGAAGACGTGCCAAGTACAACTGCCTTCCCAGCTGCCTACTGCGTTCGGCCTCTGCAGCCGACTCCAAGGCAAGTGTGGACAGGGGCAACGAGAGGCATTGCTTCCTTTGATGGCCCCCTACCTATGGAAAACCACCCCACGGCAGCCCAGCTGACATCAAATGTGTCGTCTTTTTGGCCCCAGGTTAAGACAGTTCCTCTTCTCTGAGGTCTTTAAAGGCTTACCTGGCCACCCAGGGCTGAAGGGGGCCTACCCATCCCACGTGCTTTGCGGGGTCATCCTTTGCTATTGCCTCCTCTAGGTGTTTTAAACTTTTTAAATGTTTTTCCTGATTTTGTGATATTTTATGGCATTTTTATTGTCTGATTCATGGATTGGTGTAACCTGCCCAGAGAGCTTTGGCTGTGGGGCGATGTAGACATGAAATAATAACACAGGGAGGTACATGACCACCATTCCAGGCTTCAGGGTCCAGAAGCACTAATATTTTAGGGTTAAGCGACATTTGCATAGCCCATGGTCTGTTTTAGGGCACTGCGAAGGATGCTTAAAGAGGAGGCAGATTGCCCATGGGTGCCAGATGCAACCCCTGCTCAGCGATTGTCGAATCATGCAAAATCAGCACATTGGTCCTTAGGCAAAGGTTATTTAAAATATTCTCTCTTGCAGGCCATCAATTAATCCAAACTAACAAGCTTTGCTTTGCTTCGTGATACACACAAAACGGCCAGCATAAATTCGAATGCACACGACTCTCAATCTGCTCACATCTTCTTTAGGCATTCTCAGTGTGAACAGGTAAGGACATAATAATAATAATAATAATAATAATAATAATAATAATAATAATAATAATAACCCTCTGCAGCAGACAATCATTTTAATTTGCTATAATGATGCTCTTAGTAAGGCACTTCTGGATCACAGAGTACTGCCCTAATTTTTCACAGGCAGATCAAAAGAAGCGCAGGTGAAGCACATTTTATAAGATTCCAACATACACTTTGACTACATTCTGCCTGTGGGCAACATTAATAAGAATACCTATTTCAATATCCATCGTTGTGCAATTTTGAGCTCATAAATTACTTAAATTAAATCTTAAATCACTATTCAGGTATGGGCAAAAACTAGTTTGGATTTGCCTCAGCTGGGACTCCTGGCAACCAATTGTTTAGCAACAGCGAGAATACCCGTACCACACAATTCTACACTGATGTTCACCCATCTTGTGGAGCCGCTGTTCTGCACATGGGCACAGTAGATGGACCTCGGGGTGCCAGCTAAAATGAAGCAGGACTGATAAGCTCAACAGTTGCGTACCCCCAAATCTCACTCTTCAGCATGAGAAAAAGGCAGGGAAAGACGGAGCGAATTGTGAAAAAGGAAGGAGGAAAATGCGATTCAAATATAATACTTATTATATTTTATAAATACACACACAATTATACATATAGTATATGATTATTAGTATGATAATAGCCTTGAGAAGGTAAGATTGAGGGAGGACATGATATCCCTCTAGAAGTACCTCAAAGGCTGCCACAAAGAGGAAGGTCAAGAGCTCTTCTTGCTGATGCCAGAGTGTAGGACACAGACTAGTCAAGTTGCGACAACCCAGATTCAGGCTGGGCATCAGGAAAAGCTTCCTCACTATCAGAGCAATACGGCAGTGGGACCAGCTGCCTGGAGGGGTGGGGGGCTCTCCCACACTGGGGACATTCAGGAAGAAACTGGGCAGCCCTCTGAGTGGGATGGTGTGACTTGGTGTCCTGCAACAGCAGGGGGTGGACCTGATGGCCTTCATGGCCCCTTTCAGCTCAACTATTCTATGATTCTATGATCATACTAATAATAAGTCTTTCTCTCCTGAAGGCATGGCAAATTTTATGGTCAGCAGAATGACCAGATGCAAAAGGGGACAGTTGGATATTAACCAGAACAGTCCATATTTGAGGCAGAAGATTGTGGAACAAAATGTTTTACCTAAACTTTATGTCCTAAAGGGACACGGACAACACGTCACCATTGAGAAGTTCTGTAGAACCTCTGGCCATGCTGTTGAACCAAAAAAAAAAAGGTTCTAGCAGACTATGCCTCACAGGTCAGATTGTGGCCACTCTTTGTACCATCCAATTCCTCGCCTGGTAAATATCAGGCGCAACTTGTCATGTTAAAATGGGGCTACTCTCCCTGTTGAAAATCTCACACAAAAATTTGTGCTCTTTGTATATATGTGCCAGAAATGAGTTGTACTGAATTCAGGAGATGTGCTAGACAGGGTGCTAAAGCCAAAACCATAAAACCTGACTCAGGCTGGGTAAGCTAAACTCGAAATGTTATTGCCCAGCCCTGTCCTTGTGTTCAGCCGGTTCAGGAAAGATCAGATATACAGGCAGCCCACAGCAATGCACAAGAGCTATCCAAACAATGGCAAAAGCAGAATTCCTTTTGTTTGGACCGATTGTTGCAAAGGAATGCACAGGCTTTTGAGTTTCACAGAACCCTTCCTCAAGTTCCAGGCAGCAAGGGGAAAGAAGAGAAAAACATTTTGCTGGGCTTAAGTACCGCTGCCATATTTCTTCAGTATTAACCTGTTTTTCCGAAAATAAGACCTAACCGGAAAATAAGCCCTTGAATGATTTTTCAGGATGCTCCTAATATAAGCCCTACCCAAAAAATAAGCCCCAGTTAAGTTCATCAGCCAGACGGACGCATTTAGCATGTCCGTTGCGACGCAATTAGGGGTTTAGAGAGTTATGACGATGTTCCAGAAGAAAACAGCATGACTGTATTTGAATAAATGTAGATTGTTGTACATGAAAAAATAGGACATCAACTGAAAATAACTCTGAGTGCATCTTTTGGAGCAAAAATTAATATAAGACCCAGTCTTATTTTCGGGAAACAAGGTAGACCAATCAATAAGTTTACTTCAAAGGCTACCCCACGAGCCAACAGCGGATTCTTCAACGTTTACTTTAAGCGAAATAAGTATCTGTGCAAACTGCAAAGGGCCACCGCTGTCACAGAAAAAGTATTCTGCATCTCGCTCGATGAAAACCGAACAGCTCTTCTAGCCTTTCTCCAGCTGCAGCGTCCCCTGAAACCAAACTACACTTCTGGCGTTTATTTCTTTCGTACTGCATAAAAAATCATCTTTGCGCACATTAAGGTGCAACTGGATAACCCCTGGCACTGACCGGGCACCGCTCTTCTTCCGTTCAAACGCGCGCGGCGCTGCGCGGCGCCTCGACCGAAGCGCACGGCACTCTGCGCGCGTTTGCGCCGGCGGAGCCTTCACGAACAGTCGGAGCACCGTGCCCGCTCCTCGGCCGCGGGACAGACTGTGCGGGGGCTCGCCGGGCAGCGGAGCCGGCGCCCCCGCCGCGGGCCGCCCGGGGGAGCGCGCCTACCCGCCCGCCCGCCCGTGCCCCGCGCACCTGTAGAAGTAGTGCGCCACGAAGAGCGCCAGCAGGACCCGGTTGGGGCAGAAGGCGAGGCGCGCGCCGTCGCTGCAGACGATCAGGAGCACCGGCACGAGGCAGGAGGGCGCCTCCTGCACGAGCCAGCTCGCCCGGGCCGGCAGGCGCCAGCCGAACGCCGGCGAGCTGTAGCGCCCGTACGGGACGCCCACGAACCTGGCCAGCACCATGGCCGCGGCGACGAAGGCGACCAGCCCGCAGCTCGCCTGCTGCAGCAGCCGCTGCTCCTGCGGGCCCGACAGCCGCCGCCACAAAGCGCCCGAGCAGAGCGCGCCGCCCAGCGCGCGCCACGACCGCATCTCTGGCACGGCGCGGCGCGGCACGGCACGGCGCAGCAGGGCAGGCGGGCAGGGCAGGGCAGGGCAGGGCAGGCGGCGAGCGGCCGCCCCCGCGCGGGAAGGTCGCGCGCTGCTCGGGCGCCCCCGCGCGGACCGGGGCCCGCCTGGCTCGGGCCGCGCGGGCCCCTGTGCCAGCCGTGCCGAGGCTCTGTGACGGGGAGTTGCGCAGCTGCGGCGCCGTGCGCGGCTCAGCGGCGGGAGGGAAGGGACAGGAAGCGGGGGGAGCTGCCCCGGATCGGCGGGGGGCGGGGAGCGGGTGCGGCGCCCGCGGGGCAGGAAAATTCCGGAGGCTCAGGAAAATTCAAGCTTTGCTAGTGCTCTTCCCCCATTCTCGCTATTGATATCGAGTGCCTATCACTTGCATAAGGCAAACCAGTTGGTATACCATGGCTGGCTGATAACCGGAAAGGGGTTTGTTTTAACCAAGAAACTGCTTTTAGGAATGTTGCAGAAAAACTCTGATCCTGCAATGGCTTGTTTATTTTGTAGTATAAAAGGGGGTGGTGGGCGCGCGAAATGCAGTTGGGGCCTCAACTTGGAGCTATTGGTTGTGAGCCGTTAGTGGCTCCCTCTAAAGGGGCCACTCCAAAGGGTTTCCTCTCATCTCTTTTGTATACGCCTTCTGTGTATTTTCATCCTCTTTTCATCTTCTTTTGTATGCTTCATCTCTTTCCACCTCATCCTTTCATCTCTTTTGTACACTTATTTATTTATTCATTTAAAACATTTCTATGCTGCCCCATCGCAATAAAACCTTGGGGCGGCTCACAAGACATCAATAAACAAACCATACAGTAAAACCCCAATACAATAAAACCCCAGTGCCATAAAACCTCAATAAAACCTCAGTGCATTCTCGGCTAAACATTAAAAAAAATACTTCTGTATATTCTTTCCACTTGTGTTGCCTTGTTACTTTTTCAGCATTTGTAATCTAGGTTTGAATTTCCCTTTGGTTCCTTGGGTTCTCTTGAACAGGCCTCTTGTTCTTCCTCTTCTGCTGTGCTCTTCTATTTCTTTGCCTTGGCCAGCATAAAAGTCTATGTTTTGTGTCTATGTGATGGTCACTGAAAAGTTGCATTTTCTTTACCCTGTTTCTGTCACCTTTTGCTTCTCACACACCCTTAGCAATTGTAACAGTTTCTTCTGTTATCCATCTTTTTCTTTCTTTTTGCTATGTCCTTGTTGTTAGTCGTGAAGTCGTGTCCGACCCATCGCGATCCCATGGACAACACTCCTCCAGGCCTTCCTGTCCTCCACCATCCCCTGGAGTCCACCTAAGCTCACACCCACTGCCCCAGTGACTCCATCCAGCCACCTCATCCTCTGCTGTCCCCTTCTCCTTTTGTCTTCAATTGTTCCCAGCATCAGGCTCTTCTCCAGGGAGTCCTTCCTTCTCATTAGGTGGCCAATTTTGGAGATTGTATCCCAGTACTGCTTTTCCTACTCTTTTATGGACTATGAAGGCTACTCCATTTCTTCTGAGGGATTCTTACCCGCAGTAGTATACCTGATGGTCATCTGAATTAAATTCACCCATTCCTGTCCATTTTAGTTCACTGATTCCTAAGATGTCGATGTTCAGTCTTGTCATCTCTTGTTTGGCCACATCCAGCTTGCCTTGATTCATGGATCTTACATTCCAGGTTCCTATGGAGTATAGATCTTCTCAGCATTGGACTTTCCTTTCACCACCAGATGCATCCGCAACTGAGTGTCCCTTCGGCTTTGACCCAGTCGCTTCATTCTTTCTGGTGCTACTAGTACTAGCCCTCTGCTCTTCCCCAGTAGCACATTGGACACCTTCCGCCCTGAGGGGCTCATCTTCCGGCATCATATCTCTTTGCCTTTTGGTACTGTCCATGGGGTTTTCATGGCAAAGATACTGGAGTGGGTTGCCATTTCCTTCTCCAGTGGATCACCCTTTGTCAGACCTGTCCGTCTTGGGTGGCCCTGCATGGCATAGCTCACAGCTTCATTGTGTTACTCAAGACCCTTTGCCAAGGCAAGGCAGTGATCCATGAAGGGGCTTTTTGCTATAACGTCGTCTTTTTTCATTCTTCTGAACAATGCCTCTAGTTTCAATCCACAGATGTTCTGGTTTGCAGTCAATTGAGCTCAGTGATCTTTAATTCAAATTCCTCAGGGATGTTATTTAGGCTGTATTTTGCAACTGTGGTTCTGTTAGTGATCTTTGTCAGCTTTACTCAGTTTTTTGTATTAATAGTTCATGGTCACGATTGCAAACTGCTCCTGGGCTTGTTTGGGAGCAGCAAGGATACAGCATCTCCATCCCTTAATTCCTCTTATATAATTATTTGATTCTTATATTGGGCATCTGGTGATGTTCTTATGAACAGTTGTCTCAATAAACAGATTGTTAGTTTCACATAACTCTATGAGTTGTATGCCTACTTTGTTTCTGACTCCTAGGCCAAATTCTTCCAAAACATTAGATTCTGCTTCTCCTACTTTTATGTTCCCATCACCTAGAATTATCAGCTTGTCTTGTTTTGGTGTCTTTTCAATTTCCTCTCTGAAGCTTGGATAGCAAATTTCTTCTTCAGCATCTGCTATCCAAGTGTAGTCCTGAATAATGTTTATGTTGACAGGTTTCCTGAGAATTTTGATTGATAATATTTATTTATTTATATACAGCCTTTTTCCTACAAAAGGCTCAAGGCAGCTTACATCATTCTCCTCCTCCATCTTATCCCCACAACAACACCCCTGTGAGGTCGGTTGGGCTGAGAGTCCGTGACTGGCCCAAAGTCCCCCAGCTGGCCCCATGGCTGAGTGGGGACTCGAACCCGGACCCTCTGAGTCCCAGTCCCGTGCTCTTCACCACTATGCCACACGGGCTCTCTGCTTGCTCTTTGCATTATAACTCCTCGCTGCATCCTGCCTCAACATTAGAGGCCTTCCATTTCGACAATTTTCCAGAATAAAACATTTTTGTTTCCTGCCTCAAAGAACATCTTCAAGGCAGGAAATGGCTGAACCGCACGAAAGCACACTCTCTGGTTCTGGCCTTCACAATGGGTTGTGGTTTTTTAGCTTCAGATAACACAACAAGCCATTGTGACGGCAAAATCATACGACAGAGGAGGGAAATCATTCTAGGACAGTTCATGTGATGTTGGCAATGTCTGGGGGGGGGGTGGGCAGGGAGGCGGTGATACACTCACACACCCAGTAGGGCCTTCGTAAGGCAGCTGGTGCTGTGTGCGTGCATTTTTGCTTTGGCCTCCCATTCCGGGAGGTGTGGTTCTTTTTCTCCCTCACTCCAGATAAAGTGTTGGTGGAGCTCATGATGTGTCTTGTGTTAGTACTGTTCAGTTCCCAGGATCTTCTGCTGTTCCAAATAGGATTGCAAATGTCATGAAACTTATGGAATGTCATGCCACTCATGGAATGCACTCCCCAGAGAGGTCTGCCTGGCGCCATCGTTATTTGTTTTTGGCGCCAGGCCAAGACCTTTTTATTTAAACAATACTTTAATAACTGTTAATATTATTTATTGGTTTTAATTTCTACAGCCAGGGTGAATCCGGATGTTTTATGTATTGTTTATATGCTTATTTATTGTGCTGGAAGCCATCCTGAGGATCATGCGATTGGGACGGCATACAAAAATTCCAAATAAATAAATAAAAACGCTAAGCTACAAACCTCACGTGCAGACCACAAGTGCATAGGGATATGCTAGATAACACGCTATGCAGTTTCAACCCTGCCCCCTGGAAAAATTCCTGCAAGCACCCAACGACTTCCCAGTCTTTGGAATACTTCATTTTTGCTGCTGCTGCTGGGTTTGTTTGAGCCTGCTCCTGGAATGATTTTCATCGATCTGGAGGCAGGCAACCTGGCGCCCTCCAGCTCTTCTGCATTCCCACAAGCCCCAGCCAGCAAGTTCTCCCGTGGCCATGAAGCTCACTGGGTGGATTTGGGCCAGTCCCGCACTCCCTGCCCGGCCTACCTCGCAGAGTTGTTGTTGTGAGGACACCATGCAGCTTTGTAAGCCGCCTTGGATTCCTCACCGAAGGGAAAAAAAGGAGGGAAAGGTAGTATAGCAGCAGCGTTCAACACTCTCGCACGCGCTAACGAACGGCTTTTAATAAGGCACGTCGGAGCTACAGTATTGGCTTGCACAGCAGCCCGCTGCGCTTTGCCTCGCCACGAACAAGCCTGCAGGAAGGCGCCGGGCAAGCGCGCGTCTCCACCCGGGATCCCGCGCGCGACTCCGCGGAGCTCCGCCGCTTTTCCACGGGAGAAGCGAGCCCGGAATTCGACCCCGCTGGAGGAGTCTACCCTGCCCCGCGTCTAGAAGGCGCCGGTGCGCGCCTGCGCAGAGGCTCCCTGGCGCACGCGGCGCGGCCTCCGGCTAAGCAGGGCCTCGTCGGGAGGAGACGGTGCTAGGCCGCGGACAGGCGCTGCTCGGGGCCGGGGCCGGGGCCGGGCCGTGGGCGGGCGCGGCCGGCCTGGCGCGGGCGATGGGCCGCAGGCAGCGCCACCGGCGGCAGCAGGAGCGGGAGCGCGACCGCGAGCGGGGCCCCGGGGTGAGCCGCGGCCTGGGAGGCCTCGCGGAGGCCGCGCTGGCGCTTCGGGGCGGGACGTACCACTGCGGCGGGGGCGCGGGGGGCGGCGGGCGCGTCCCGGGGAAGAGACCAATGGGGGCGCGGCGGCGGGGGGGGCGGCCGGGCCGGGCCAGAGCGGCTCGGCACGGCACGGCGCGCCTCACCGGGCCGGCTCGCGCTGTCTCCCGCAGGGCTGGCCCGAGGGCGGCTACCCGGAGATCGTGAAGGAGAACGCGCTGTTCGAGCGCTACTACGGCGGGCTGGGCATCGTGCCCGCGGGCGAGTGGGCGCGCTTCATGCAGGCGCTGCGGGAGCCGCTCCCGGCCACGCTGCGCATCACGGGCTACAAGAGGTGAGCCGCGCCGGCGCCCTTCGCTTTCCTTGCGACGACGACGGCCCTGCGGGGTAGGCCGGGCTGAGGCTGCGCGAGGGGCCCGAGCCCCCCCCCCCCCCGAGCTGCATGGCTGGGGGCGCGGACCTCCTGACTTGCAGTGCATCGCTCTGCCCACTGGCCTTCCTGCCCCCCCGTCGTAATTTACGGTGTCTCCTTTGGTAGTGATTTGCTTGAGAGGGGTAGGGCGACTTCATACTTTTCTCTTGCAAACGATGAATCCCCCCCCCCCGAACACACCACACACACACTTTCTCCCCTTCCTGCGTGGCTTGTCCAGATCTTTGGATGCGAGTCCATATGCGTCAATCTTGCATTGAAAATAATCTGTTGCAAAAATACTGGAATTAAATAGCCTTCTTGCTGCTGGGTATCTGGGCCGTTCTGGGGCATTGTAAGTAAGGGAGCTATGGGAAAGAGGTGCTGCTGTGTAAAAAGTGGGGCTGGGTTATTTGTGTCAGGCGTAGCGTGTTGTAACATGAATGCAGTTTGCTTGAAGAAGTTGCATGGCAGTGGCTTTGAGCCACACAACAGTTTGTACACCCCTGAAATGCCCATTTTGCAAAAAGCAATTACATGTTTTCTTTGGTACAAGATGCACCTGTCAGATTTGTTACTGGGGGGAGGAAACTATGTGATTGTGAATGATCTTTGTTGTAAACCAGCAGGCTGATTCAATTTGATGGCTGGTGATCATGTGATGTGTAATTTAGTCTTTATAGAAAAATTATCATTCATGCAAAGATGGATGGTTCAACATAGGTGCAATTAGGATTTTTTTGAGACTGGAAAAGTAGTGCTGTTGAAACAGTTGCACTGTGCTTTCCCCCACTCCTTCCCTGGTAATTCACCTTTTTTTCCTTTTGCAGCCATGCCAAAGAGATTCTCTACTGTTTGAAGGACAAATATTTCAAGGAATTAGAAAACCAGTTGGTAGATGGGCAGAAAATTGAAATGCCACAGCCCTTAAGCTGGTAAGATTATGTCTGTTCCTATGTTTCAGTAATCTTTCATGTAATTTAATTATTATCAGTAAGATTAACTGGTCTTTAATATCAGTATAAGAATAGACTGGTGGAGTTCAGAAGAATTGCTGAGAATTCTGGCTTGTCACTGATGAACCACGCTCTGGTACAAATTGGTTAGTCGGTCCTACTTTCTACCCCTTGCCAGTTGCAGTGGCTAAACTAATGATATAAATAGGCATCTAATCCATATATCAGGAATGAGAGTATTTTGTACTGTACCTTTTACATTCTATTGCTTTAATCAGATGTCTTTTTTTCTTTAATACGTTTGCTTTATCTCATTTATTATTCAAAATAATAGCATTCATATACAGACTGAATCCATGTGTATACACCTAAAAAGGAGACTTCAAGTACCATCTTGCAAAATTCTGGGTGTACCATATTCAGAGAACTTATTGTTTCATTAGGTATCCAGAAGAGTTAGCATGGCATACAAATTTAAGCAGAAAAGTCCTGCGGAAGTCCCCACTGCTAGAAAAATTCCATCACTTTCTGGTTAGCGAAACTGAATGTGTAAGTAGTAATGTTCCTTCGTTTCTTTTTCTGTTTGCACCTCACTGTGAAAATTTGTCTCCAGATTTTCTCCTGTCTCCACCCTTCCTTGCCTTAGGAAACTATGGGTAGCATATAAGCATGAATGACATTTAACCATAAAGAGAGTGTGCGGGAATGAGACAGGTCTTTATTGGCTTCTGATGGCCCCCCCAGATGGCACAAGCGTCCAAGTAGAATTTCTCTGGGCACAGTACAGTCTTTGTAGCATCTCTTTCTGGAGTTGCGACTTTCATGAACCTCTCCCTCTCCCCAAATCTACCTCTGCTTGCTCCTCACGTGAGAAGACACTCGACCAACTCACCCATAGAAGATGGCACTGATACCACCTCTAATTTTGATAGCACTTCGCACTTCTCGAAACACCACAGCTGACCCAAGTGGAGGAGCATCTGAGGCAGCTTTGTGTGACTCCTGGTGCAGCTTCCCCAGAGACGCTGCTTTATTAACAAGGGGTGGTTACAGACTAAAGCTGCTGCCAAGAAACACATCCATGGAGCATTATTCACTGGTGCCTCAGAGGCTGGCATCCAGCACCGGTGGGCCATCCTGCACAGAGAAACTGTTGATGCTGCAATATCTCCTGGGACATGGGCCTGTTTTGGGGTACTGGGTAGTGAACATGCTTCTCTGCCATGGTTTTCCAGGAGTTTGTGGCCTCTAGGGGGAGATTTATGGGCATTTATGCAAGCGTTTCAGGAAGGGGCTCTCTTCTGGAACTGGTTTTTGGAAGACAGAATGGCCACTGGCTGGTTCTTCACTGGCTCGCTTGTGACAATAAACGGCCCCACCATTCTTGGGGACCAGGTCCTCCTTGGGGACCAAGCATTTGCCCTTCAGCCCAAGTTTATGGCACCCTATGGAGCACCAAGAACCCCTAGGCAGAAGAACTTCAACTTCTGGATGTGGAAGGATGCATTGTTCCAAGTGTCACAGAGCGTGTGCAGGCTGGGGGGACTGATCCTTCAGGGTAACTCCGGCCTGGGTTGAGGGCGACACCATTCCCCTCGATGGCCAGCCGGCCAAAGGTCCCACCCAGCAAATGTGAGCACCGATGAAGCAACTGAGGAAGGGCTTGTTCAGCAGCCGTGGGGTGGATCCTATCCAAGCATCTACTTTGCTAAGGACTCAGCCGTGCCTCCGCCATTAGCTTAAGAGGCTTGGAATCACCTGGTTGCCTCTACAAAGAACTTGTTTAGCTACTTCCAGTGTTTCTGTTTTCTTCGGTGTATATAATCATAAGATGCAGTGTTTCGTTTCCTTTTGTTCGTTTGTTTCTTGGCTTTAGGGGAACATCAGTCGCCAGGAAGCTGTCAGTATGATTCCTCCTCTTCTGCTTAACGTGGAGCCCCATCATAAGGTACATTTCCATGCATGAGTCTTTTTGGGGAAGGTAACGTAAGTGGCTTTGTGCTAGGTCAGTGCTTTTATGTTGCATGTTTGTGTTGCACCCTCCATTTTAGCGATAACTGGAAATGTTCCATAATTGGTTTAGAAGCAAGATAGATAGATAGGTCTACGGTTTAGTTATCTGAGAATAAGATAAGGTGCTACCTCATGTTTCTCCGAGATGGAACTCCAAATAGTCCCAGTCAGGACACATTCTCCTCTTATTTCCTCTCATGCCAAAATCATTTACTGGTTTTCCTCGTTACAACACCTCTCTGTACCTTCATTCTTCCTCTCAAATAGAAATCAGGGTGCTACTTAATGTTTGGTTATTAAAATCACCCACAAAAGCATTTCATGGTGCTGGAACTTGCCCATGACTCCTGAATTGAATCATGCTGTACATGTTAGTGTCTGTTATTTATTTATTTATTTATTTATTTATTTATTTATTTATTAATTAAAACATTTTTATGCCGCCCCATTCGCCGAAGCCTCGGGGTGGCTTACAACAAAAAATTAAAAACTGGCTTCCCATTGAAGTCCGGGCCCAATTCAAGGTGTTGGTAATGACCTATAAAGCCCTAAACGGCTTGGGTCCTGGTTACCTGAAGGAGCGCTTACATCCTTATATGCCCAGCCGCCCCCTGAGATCGGCGGGAGAGGCCCTTCTCCGGGAGCCCTCCGTGGAAGAAGTTAGGAGGGTGGTTACTCAGAGGAGGGCTTTCTCAGCGGTGGCGCCTAAGTTATGGAATGCGCTCCCCAGAGAGGTCCGCCTGGCGCCGTCGTTATTTGTTTTTCGGCGCCAGGCGAAGACCTTTTTATTTAAGCAGTATTTTAAATGTTAATATTATTGAATTTTATTTGGCCAGGGCGGCTTGTTTTATAGTGTATGTTTTATATATTTGTATTTTATCTCTCTGTTCTTGGTAGATTCTGGATATGTGTGCTGCCCCCGGCTCCAAAACGGCGCAGCTTATTGAGATGTTGCATGCAGATATGGGTGTTCCTTTCCCAGGTAAGTGAGAGTACAGGTACAAGTGAATCATGCTTTACACTGAGAAGTGAAATTAATTCTCACACCATGAAGCCAGGCAGCTTAACCCTCAAACTTTCTTTACCATTCATGGTTGACTTTGGACTACAGTAATATATGCATGATTTATTCATAGGTGATGTCCCATTTAATCAAAAAGTGAAAGGTGCAAGTATTTTTTCTTTGGGTTTGCAGAAAAATCAGAAGTGGAACTTAAAAATCCAGTGTGCAGATAGGCCTTGACTGAGTTGTCTGTCATTAGAAACAACCTCAGATTGTCTTCTTGGAGCTCTTTGGCTATCTAGGGATTCTGCCTTGTCATTTAGCTTAGCGTGAATCCCTTGCTCAGTTACATATTATGCTTGTATAAAGCAGCAGGTATGTGTGTTCTTATCCCCATAATTAAGCCACACAATTGCTGCTGTTATTTCTGCATTTCCCAATAGCCAAACCTGTCTGTGAAACGCTAAATATAAATAAGAGTAAAAGCACACCATTTACTCAAGTTTTAACCTCAAGTCCATGCTGCTCTGCCTGCTATAAGCAACGGACAGTACAGTTCAGCCCACATGTAACTCATTTGGAGTTAAATGTCTCAGCACGGAGGGAAGTCTTGCCACCAAGGAGACGGTAACGTTGGCGCCAGCCGGGCCTTGTTGGGGAGATCATGCTGTAATAAGGGGGCTGTCACCAAGGGTTACATCGGAGGAAGGCCTCAGATGTTGAGTGTCGCGTCTAGGCAAGTTGCGACTGGAGGAGGAAGTCTTACCTGTGAGGCCCAAAACATTCCTTTAACCTGACGAGTTCAATCCTTCCCCCCGCAGAGGGATTTGTCATTGCGAACGACGTGGACAACAAGCGTTGCTATTTGCTAGTACATCAGGCAAAGAGGCTGAATAGCCCTTGCATCATGGTCGTAAATCACGATGCCTCCAGCATCCCAAATTTGCAGATCACCACCAACGGAAAGAGAGAAATCCTGTTCTATGACCGGATATTGTGTGATGTACCTTGCAGGTACGTTGTGCTTATTTTTCGTATTGCAGGCACTGTGCTGCCTTTGGACTAACTTTTTAAATAACCGCTGATAGACCTTTGCGTCACATTGAGAGAATGTGCGTTTGATGCTTTGGACAGGTTCGCATATCACAAGCACCCATCCTGGCGAATCACCCCAAAGGTTTCCCGAACGGCCAAGCAGAGGGTCGGGTTCATTCTGCTTGCCTCTTCCCCTCCCCTTGCTCCAGGCAGGATTCCGGGGGGCACCGCCTGGAGGAGTGGGGCTCCTCTCGTTCAGAGCTGTGATCACAGGCCAAGTTCATCTCGCCACGGTTGCCCAGCGCTTCGCTGCGCAAAAGGCTCCGATCCCAGAGCACAGCAGAGGTCAGGCACCCCCACCCGCTTCAGAGATCTGTGGAGCAGGAGGTGCGAGCACCTCTCTCACACTTTTGGGCCTAAGGGGTGGCAGGGGTGGCTGCTACCCGGCAGGGACAGCCTGGCTCCTCTGAATTGCCCCCTCCTGCCTGGGGGGAATCCTCTGTGGCCCAAGCAGGGCAGGGAGCAGCCGGCTGGAGGAGCACTGCCAGAAGAGGAGGCAGCAGTTCGCTGATTCCCCTGCGCCTGCCGGAGAGACTCATTCGGAGGCGCGTGTGGGGAAAGGGGGCTGAGCTAATTCCGGATGCTCCCAAAGGCCTGCCTAGCTTAGGCCTTTGCCCGCTTCTGCTGGAGAGACAGCTGGTCCAACAGGACTTGTGGGGGCAGCTCATCTTGCTTTCCTCCTCCTCTCGTGTTAGAGGTTGCATGCAGGGGTCTGTTGGGAGGGCAGGCCATGTCTCCACTGTGCTGGCTGTATTGTCTGAGTTCGAGCAACGGCACCAGCAGCCATGCAACGCAGTTACTATCTCCCAGTTTAATCTCTCTCACAGTTTACAACACTTGTGTGCACCTTCAAGATGTTTACGGAAAGGATGAAATCCAATGGGAACCCAGTGGTTGTTAGGCCAGAGTGCATAAGCTACATTGAGTTTTTTCCCTCAACCTTATTTGTTTACCATATTTGTTTAGAACAATCTTTTCGCAGTGTCTTGTTCATATTTTGAATCCTGGTAAGGATGGCATGTGCACTAGTTCAATATTGGGTAATAAAACATTGCCCTGATTTAAATGTTTTTCGAAATAGCGGAGATTTTGAAAAGTGAACCTTCATTTTATTATCAGTAAGACTTAAGCTTAAAAGGATTGGGAAAAGTACTTGCTTACATCCTTAATGTAGAGAAAAGTTTGTAACACCCCTATCTGAGGTGCCTTCCTCTATACAGTTTTGCTAAGGCTTTTCTACCCAAAGAATGGATTTCAACAGCATTCAAGTGACTTGTTGCCCAAACTGTGTTGCCCAAACTGGGCAGTTGAGAATCATGGACTTGGGGCCCGAGTGACAACTTTTTTGTCAAGTTTACAACTTGTGTTGCAGGTACATCAAGTTTGGCTCTGGTTGTGTTGGAATATAATCTGATTTCATTTGAATTAATGTGGAAATATTTCTTGCAGCGGAGATGGAACTATGAGAAAAAACATTGACGTATGGAAAAAATGGACTACCCAGAACAGCTTGCATCTACATGGGTAAAAAAAATACTGCTAATCTCACATCTTTAAAGTTAAGAAAGGGATAAAAAGACCATGTATGATGAAGGAAGGTACTTAGACCAAGGGCCGGCCTGCCACCCCATTGCTAGAGCTTTGTGGAAATAAAAGTTGTAAAGGTAAAATTTCTTACTCTTTTGGTCACTTAATTTTATGTTTCAGCGTCTGATGAAGCTCAAACAAGTAACTTGGCCCAAAAACTAAATATAAGAGAGAAATGGTATTTAATTAATCAAAATAATTTCCTCATAGGCAGTTTAAAAATTCCTATAAAATAGAATGGTGAATCGAATGTCAGTGCTATGACCAGAGAGGAATGGGTTCAACTCCTTAGTCATGGGTGTCATTAGATCATGGGCCAGTCATGCATTCTCAGCGCAGTCTATCTTACAGGGTTGCTGTATGAATAAACCGGTAAAGGGTGGAAGTATGCATCCTGTCCACAGTTCCTTGCAGGAAGTTGCGGGGGGAATAAAAAAGCAACATTTAAAAAGAATTACGTTGAAATGCCCTGCAAACTGCCTTGTGCAAGGTTTATGAGCTGCTAACTGGTTTATCAAAATGCTTCGTGTGCAGATTGCAATTAAGGATTGCAACACGTGGAGTTGAGCAGCTGGCAGAAGGCGGCCGGATGGTGTACTCGACCTGTTCGTTGAATCCTGTCGAAAACGAAGCTGTCATTGCCTCTCTGCTGGAGAAAAGCGAAGGTGTGTGTGGCTCGTCCCTTTAGTTTCGTCATCCAGTGAGAAAGAAAATAACAGGTGAAACATGCTCAGACTGATGTGGAAATCGGGTTTGCCCTTTTGTTTGACTGCCCAGAACAGTTCATTCTTAGCTGAACGTTCTGCCTTGCGCAGAACAGCGGTACCTCGGCTCACGAACTTAATCCGTTCCAGGATTCTTGGTCGTGAGCCAAGTCAAATTTCCCCATAAGGTTCAATGTAAATAAGGTAAATCCATTCTGTAATTACTTTTTTTTTTTTTTTGCTCACAAAAATTTGAAGCAAAGTGACACCTACAAAGATCTTGGCCATCTTTCCCCTCTGCCCCCCCCCCCCGGTGAGTGTGCTGGGTGGGGGAGACGGTCGCAATTGTGGGCGCGCTGGGGGGAGATGGGCACGATTGTGGTCGCACTTGTGCAGGGAAGACGGGCGCAATCACGGCCATCTCCCCCACCCCCCGAGCATGATCGTGGCCATCTCCCCCCCCCCCCGCAAGCACGACCACGGTCACGTCCGTGTAGGGAGGTCAGGCGCGATTGCCACCCAATGCGGAGTTTGCGACCTGCAGCAAATTCTTAATGAAATTTCTTTTCACAACCCAATTTGGTTGTGAACTGAGGCGTTCATGAGCCGAGGTGCCACTCTATATTTTTTCCTGGAAATTCACCTTTATACTTGTGTTGCTGTTTCGTTCTGTTCCGTAGACGTTGCATCTGAGTCAATGTGTTGGACACTTTGAAGGGGCCGTCAGTGCTATATAATACTTTAGTGCTTATAGCAGTAGAGGAAATCTCCAGACATGGCGGAAAACCACATACGGACCACTTGTGAATTTCTGGAGCTCTCCTGAAAGCATTCCTCCAGCATTCTCCTTGAATTATTTAGTCAGAAAATGAAGTCTATTTCTCCCTGCTTAAATTCTCACTTAGCTTCTGCTTCCATTTTTATGCAAGGAGCAGAGGACAATAAAGGGGGGAAAAAAGACTTCAGCCAGCTCAAATGGAAGAGGAATTGTGGCTGGGAGATGCTCTTTCTATTTCAATTTAAGTAGCAGCATTTAAATGGCAAATGCAGTCAGTTGCTCTCTCTGTGTGCAGAAGTACAGATTAAAAATCTGCCTTTTAAAGATCGGCATGTTTAAAGAGCCCTGTAAGTGCAAACCATGCCATGGCTGTGTCTTGGCCAGTTTGATCTGCACATTTCAACATTCTTACTTACAGATTGTTTAGACCTGCCCTAGCATTCCAAATGCACTTCCTTATGGTAGTCTTATTTCCCCCCCCCACCCGCAAAAGGTGCCTTAGAACTTGCTGATGTCTCTTCTGAGCTGCCCGGGTTGAGGAGGATGCCTGGGGTCACACAGTGGAAGGTAAGTTGGCAAAAGTGCCTGTCATCATATAACTGTAATCATGCTTTAGCCAAGAGATAAAGCAGGGATTGCACTAGTTCAAAAATCCAAGACACTTCACAGTACGGTCGCTTTGTATGAAGATAAAGGTAAAGGTTTCCTCTTGACATTAAGTCCAGTCATGCCTGGCTCCAGGGGGTGGTGCCCATCTCCGTTTCCCAGCCGAGGGAGCCAGCGTTTGTCCGCAGACAGTCTCCATGGTCGTGTGGCCGGCATGACTAAACACTGAAGTGCACGGAACGCTGCTACCTGCCCACCGAAGTGGCACCTTTTTATCTACTTGCATTTGCATGCTTTCGAACTGCAAGGTGGGCAGGAGCTGGGACGGAGCAACGGGAGCTCACCCCGTTGTGCAGATTCGAACCGGCGACCTTCCGATCAACCAGCCCAGCAGCACAGCGGTTTAAACCACTGCGCCACCTGCAGTCCCTTGATGAAGATAGCAAGTGGCAGTAAACCCCAGGTCAGGGCATTTAATTCCTCTGTCTTGGTACTGGGCTTAGGTGGCTTTCCAAACTGGGAAATGGAGGCCTTTCCCAGCCATGCAGCCTGAGTTAAACTAGTGCTAGGGACTGAACGTCTCACCCTCTAGCGATGGAGCCTGTCCCTAAGCAAGGCAGCACTTCTGGCTCATAGCCAGGCTGTTGCGGGCCCCCCCTGAACCGCGGGGCCACTGCGTGATCGCTTGTTGTTCATCCCTCTGCATCTCCGTTCACATGTGCTTTGAATGTGCAGCCTCTTCTTGGGCCAGGTGGGATGTTTGCGTCATATCAAAGCCACGCACTGTGGGATCAGTGTGGGATAGCCAGCCCACCGTTAATCTCCGAGTAGTTCCAGCATGACCTGTGGGTCCCTGAACCGAAGCTCAGCTCACAGCGTCTGGGGTAGTCTTTGTTGAAGCCAGTCAGAGCTCACATATTCAAAATGGCGGCAGCGCCCCAACTCAGCCACAGGTGAAACAAGTCTGTGTCTTTTGAGAGAGAGGGAAGAAGTCGTTGCTTTGTTAACTCAGTGGCAGTCTGAAAGGCAATGGATTTTTTTTACCTAGGTGATGACGAAAGATGGTCAGTGGTTTGAGGACTGGAAAAGCGTACCCTCCAAGTTGCAAACTCAGATCCGGCCCACCATGTTTCCCTTAAAAGATGAAGAGAAACTTAAAGCATTACATTTGGAGCACTGGTACGTACTGTTGCTGCAGCTGAAAATGCCGGTGCACAACACACCTTTGTGTGTCTGCTTTTTTCTCTGTCCGGGTAACTTATTGGAGTTCTTCTCTAGAGGTTGCAGAATTAATAGGGTATTCTTGAGTTCAGGATTATCATAGCATCATAGAATAATCATGAAATTATTTACTTAACAATTATTAAATTAGTTACTTAATTTAATAAGCACAATTTCTGGGGGCTTGGAAAACTGGCTCAGAATACAGGTCAGAAATAGGTTTGGGGGCACGACTGCTAGTTTGCGGTTCTGCATTGTAGGAATATTCCTCCAGCACACAGAAAGCTAAGGGTGTGCTTGTTGCATACTTGTTGTGTGACTTGAGAGGTATTTTGGGGAATTTCTGGTTCTGTGGAAATGCACAAAACTAGATTAGCTTGTTTTAAAGCAAAAAATGCTGCCGTTACTGTTAGCACTCCATTTATTTTCTTCCTTTTTGCCTGTGAGCTCAAGGTAGTTCACTATTTAAAATAGCAGCTTGCAGTTTAATAGACATGATGCAAAAGATAGAGGGACAGGGCGAGAAAAGTGAAGAAATTCATGTGCCGCAGCTGCTGCTTTTGAGCATTCTGAGAGGGAAAGAGCCACATGGCAGCTGCTTCCATCCGCATGAGTGGAATAGAGCTTGACTTTTTCAACTCGCTGCTGGATAGAGAAAGACCTAGGAGAAGGGGGGCAGTCTTGCAGTCTGAGAGGTCTAGATGGACAACAGTGAGGGTCTTTCTCAAGAAAGCTAGCCTCCAACTTGATCTGCTGCTCAGGTTCTTAATGTCCATTCAGTAATTAGGCACAGGATCCAGCATGTAATAGGATAACCCGTGGACTGAACAGAGTTTGGTTTGGGGCTTTTTGAAGGTACCAATCATGCAGAAATGGAGGTGATGCAGGCATACTTCATATGGATCGAAAGCTGTTAACTTTAAATACCTAGGATGCCAAAAATCATTCTGAATGAATCCCCAAGCAGAGTGTGTTTGTATGTAATGTTGACCATAGTTCAGTATCAAAAGAATGAGCCGAAATAAACCATGGACTCCTGTAGGGTTTTTTCCCTTCTCCAGCACAGCTGCAAAGACGAGTATAAGAATATTCAGTTTTTGGCTTAGATAAACAAAAGCTTGTCTAGTTCTCCAAACCTGGTTTATTTTAACTATGTCGTCTTCCACCAAACCACATCAGTCTGGTTTATGAAATCAGCTTCTTTGAACAAACCATAGTTAAAAGTAACCTCAGTATAGAGTCCAGTCAGTTAATGTAAAGCATAATCTTCCAGTTTCCTTCCTGTATGGGGGAGCAGGGAACATACAAGCTACCTGCTTGCTGCAGCCCTTCCTCATAATGCTAAACCATGTTTTAACATTATGTTGAACTTTCTCAGTGTAAGAGAACTATATTTCCAACTTGCGCTAAATGCTATATATTCTTATCATATCGGCATAAGCTGGGTTATTCTATAAAGATATCACATAAGTTTATGTTACACAGGGTTACATAATCACATTGGTCTTTTTTAATTTTGCTATGTGCTGCTACTCTAAAGCAACCAAATACTATGAAATACTTCCATCGACTCCAACTCTGTGTCTGATAGCTTAGTTAGATAGACAATGGAAAACTAACCAATTTAGAATTGATTTTGATTGCATGGTGCTTTTTAAAAATTTCATCAGAAGACGAATCTCTTTTGTTTATAAACTGGACTTAGATTTTTTTTCTGGCATTGTGGAAAAATACGTATCCTGACACTAAATGTGTGTTCTTTATCTAGCCTCAGAATTTTGCCACATCATCAAAATACTGGAGGTTTCTTTGTAGCTGTATTAATTAAAAAATCTCCCATGCCATGGAATAAACGTCAACCCAAGGTAATATTTGGCTGTGTAAGTACGTTCTTGAAAACTTTCCCAAGATGTGTTGAAAGGAAGGCCAGGTTCCAAAAATCCTCAGAACTAGTTATAGATGCCTAAGGAACCATGAGCTTGTGTGTCAAGGAAAGGAAAGGAAAGGAAAGGAAAGGAAAGGAAAGGAAAGGAAAGGAAAGGAAAGGAAAGGAAAGGAAAGGTCTATATCCCACAGTGGCAAACTCTTTTTGAAACTGATTGGCAAGGGAATTTTCAAGTGCAGTTTATAGGAAGTGGGAAGAAAGAAAAATGTCCCATTGGGCACCCTAAATCCATGAGCCTCCATAAATCTTTGGAACCTGGCCATAATATTATCATGGAATAATTTATTATTTTTGCAGGTTCTGCAGACTGCCATGACCACATACCAATTCATCTCCAGAAATGTACATTTTACAAATGCATATTTGCACATAGTTGGTGTAGTTAGTGAAAGTAAATGCAATGTATGTCGAAGTGAAAGGTGGAGTGTCACGAAATTTCTTACACGTGGCTGTGTCCAGCGGTAGCTCTTCTCTCTGGAGCATCTGTCCTTCGTTCACTCATTTCTTGTTGCTGCCAACCCACTGCATTTCATTGAAATAAAAACAGTAGCACCTTAAAGGTTTTATTAGGGCCCCAGCTCTGGTGGACTACAGGCCCTTTCACCGCGAGCCTTCTCAGGAGCATCTCCGGGTGACAACACCGTCGGCCTTTGCTGCCGCAGTGAAAGTTCACTGTATGCGCTTTTTGTGCGCATTCTAGGTCCAGGCACATTTCATTCCCTCCTGACGTCACCGCTTGTGATCCTTCCCATGGGAGCCATGCGTGCCTCTGTGCATTGCAGCAGAGAATAACCCTTTATGCACTGAGTGACGTGAACTCTGAAAGCACTTGCCATAGTGCAAGCTTTCAGTTGCAACAAGGCTTTTTATGTCCGCTGCTTCCCTGGATGTTCTGAGCGACCCTCCCATTGCATTGCAAGGCCTGGAATGTCGGGCTTTATCTTATGTTCCGCTCACTTGTTCTGGCCTGAATTACCTGATGGGAAAAGTTGACCTCACACTGAGACCAACTGGTCTTTGAGAAACCAGTTCTCAAAGATTCTTTCTAACAGGAAGTACAGATTCTTTCTAACAAGTTTTACAAGCATTTCCAGAAAATATTGTGAACTACTGTGTAGGAACATAGATGTGGATAAATGTGAGCTTTTTACTAGTAGTGCTTACCAAAGTTAAGCACTTTTAAACGCACATATTTAAGATTGTCACATGCAATGTTGGACCATATCTGGATGTTAAGCTGCCTAGATGTTAAACTGAAAAACATCTGCATGAAGTTTGTGTGTCTTCCACCGTGCATAACTCAGCATTTAAACCATGCATTTGGATGTCATTGGGAGACCCGAGATGCACACGAAGGGTTAGATAACAATTTATATGCAACTTTTGAGAACTTCTTTGTCTCATGGTTTTAAATCATGGGAAAGCCTCTAAAATTTTATATTGAGAGACTATAGTGCCGAAGGTATAAAAATATGTTACCAGAGATAGTCTCCACTGCAGATTTGGACTTGGCTTAGTTTATAGTTCCAGTATTTAAGAAGCCTTTGGCTGCCAGTTAGGCATCTTCAGGGCTGTTCATTTGACATCTGTAGGGGCCTAGTAAGAAGCTACTTCATTCCATGCTTAGACTTTGGTGTGAAAAGATGATCTCGTAGCTGATTACCATCCCATAAATTAGGGATCACAGTTTGAATTGTCTTATTGTTACTAAGCATGCCTAAAAAAACAACACATTTCACTCCCTGCCCGAAAGGCCTAAACATACCTTTTTCAGGCTAGATCCTGAATCCTGAATTGCAACAGATCAGCTACGCAGCCAGAGGCATAAGTTCTTTGCAGATTTTTAGTCTTTAGTATTAAGCAAAAGTGATAAAGGTCAGGAAGAGTTCGAAGGCAAACAGGCATTCTTGGTACAGCAATGTGTATCTCAAGCAATAGTTCCGAGGGGGACCGGATTCAAGGCAGAGAAGATTTCAGGATCAGGCATGGCGAGGGACTTTTCCAAGACACTTTAATTTTTCAACAGTTCTTATAGTTCCTCTTAGAGTCCACCCATCCCGACAGGATGGTCTTGTTTCTTACTGTGAACTCCAACTCTTGGGCCATCTCTCGCTGATGTCTCCGTCCTAGAGTCAGCTCCTGGCCCTGCTCCCCAGCTTGGTCCTCAGGAAAGCTCCCAGGTTGTTGTCGATCCAGGGATGCTCTCAAAACTGGTTCTGGTTTTGGCTGCTAAGCCAGCTATCTGGGGGGCACAAGGAAAAATGAGCTCCCAGCTTCCTGACAGCTCAAGCAGATTCTAAATCTTGGTGCTCCATCTCTGAATCTGACGCTTGCTCTTGAGTTCATGGAAAGCAGAAGGGCTTGGCCTGGCCTGAGAGTCTCCTTACTCTCAAAACTAGTCCTGGACTTAGAATTTTTCTGGGCATCTGTATGGTGTATGTATCTTTCATCTCAAACATTGCAGGTGCGTACCTTGTATGCTGTTTTTGTGTATTGTTGAGCAAAAACTAAGTATACTTTAGCACTGAATGATATATTTTGTTTATCACGCAGATCACTCTGGCCCAAGTTACATTGCTTTAATCACCACTCACTCTCTGGGTGATATGCAAGTTATTTTCTACAATAAATACTACTTTTTTCCCCTAAAATTATCAGTTAAAAGACTCCTCCTTAGTGTACCACCCTCAGCCGGTCCCTGGCTAGGGCAAACCCCAGGTGGACCCCAGACCCCGAGTCAAAAGGAGCCTGAGACGAGACTTGGAGGCCAAACCAGCTTTGTTCTAGTACACTATAGAATAAAGGGAGACAAAAGGGAATTAAGAGCCCAAATCAGATTCTCGAAAGTTGCGCCCTAGTATGTGCATTTTATACCCTAAGTAAGCAATTAGCTCACCTAATGCATCAGCACATCAGTGTATGCACCCCTGCCCTTGCTGTTCGCTTCAAAGAGTCCTTTCTTCTGCCAGGGACAGGACATTTCCCATATCTGTTTCTTACCTCCTTCGAGATTCACACAGACTTGCCATGTTCTCACCCCCTGCACAGCTGTGGGTTACACAAAGTTCATTTCGTTCTTACCTCCCCTCCCTTCTGGGGCAGTACAACTGGTGCCTTTCCTATGTGGCCTCCCTCTGGCCAACTACTTTTTGGGTGCTGTGATTGGCAACAACAGGGTCCGCAATATTCTGAAGATGACACGGATTTTGATGGTGCTGTTGATGAAGCATTGTTACTAGAGTGAGTTATGTTTGTGTTTTGATGTGTAGAAGAAAAGCAGTTTATTTGATGGTCAGCAAAGACCCTTAGCCAGTAATGACTAGTAGGAAGACGTCTGAAAGCCACTGCTGTAAGTTATAACCATCAGATACATTTTTCAGGTATTGTAATTTGCTCCTTTTGTTTTGGAATAGTTTCAGCAACGCACACCCCAGAAGACCGAAGAAATATCACCTCCCTCTACAGAACACAGTTCTTCAGAAACTGTTGAAGGCCTTGTTGCCACGGAAGCAAAAGATGGAGACTCCTTGGTAACGGAGAATGCTGAGAACAAGAAGGATGGAGTTTGTGGGTAAAAAACTCCCTATAAATTAAGGCTGCTGTTTTAAAAGCAGTTGAACCACTGATCTATGTGCGCACATAGGACATCTGAGATGTCTTGTTTTCCTTTCCTGTCAGAGGTTTGAGATCATGCTGGTCTTTATAGGTTAGAAGGAATGCTTAGTTTGCCACTTCCTGGAAACACAGGGAGTCTCCAGATAAAAAGCAAAAGACTTTTTATGTCTTTTCATCCACAAGAGCAAAAAACACACAATTTCTGCAACATGAATAATTTAGGCAAACCAGACAGTTGGTAAATTCTTTGCACAGTTTCTTTTGCTTGCAAATGCTACAGAAATTGTCTCTAAAAACATTTTAAAATGCTGGGACTGAAAGAGGCTCCCAAAGCATTTAGTATGGCTTTGTCTTCTAATTAATACTTTCTGAATAAATGCATATTGGATCTTCTGTACCTACACCCAAACATGTAGGTGGTATTCCCAAACATGATGGCAGTATTGAGGGAACTAGAAAGCTCAGAATCACCTGCAAACAAAAGCACCTACCTGGTGGTGAGCATCTAAGTCAGGTGTAGAATGTTCTTCTGTTCACCTAACATCATTTTGGAGAAGCTCGAAGGTCACATTCTAGTAATGGGTGGCCAAAATACTAGTGTATTTTAGTTTAAAGCTCTTACTGTTAGTAATTTAAAATTTGAAGAGACCTCTCAGGCTCTTAAAGATGGGGGACAAGCACAGAATCTGAGAAACCAAATGATTGGTGGTCTGAGGAAAGTGGGTGGGCCCAGGATAGGCGGTATAGCCATCTGAGAGACCAATGGTAGAACCTGGATCTATCCATTTTTCTTTTAGGCCTCCACCATCTAAAAAAATGAAGCTTTTTGGATTCAAGGAAGATCCATTTGTGTTCCTTTCTGAAGAAGACCCTCTGTTTCCACCTATACAGTAAGATAAGGTCTTTCCTTATTTTTTCAAGTAATAGTTTCTATGCTAAGTCCCAGTTCTAGGCCAGGTTTGGTTGGGCTGAGTCAAGTTAGCACCTCAATGAAAAAAGGGAAGGGACCCACGGGGCCTATTCTTGCTAAACAGCAGCAAATCATAGTGAATCAGCCCACAATTTGCTGGGTCCAATTCTAATGTAGCTGCCGTTTTGCACAATAAACCTATTTTTGGCTGAGTCATGAGGTGTGAACCCCGACACCATGGGTTATTCATGGGTGAAACAGCCAACAGTTGACTCACTGATTAGTTCTTCACACTAGCCCTCTAACATTCGCATATTATAAATCAGCCTCTGATCTGGCTAATTGGAGGTTTATTTTGCAAGGCAGAAATAACATGTTGTTGTTGCTAGTTGCAAAGTTGTGTCCGACCCATCACGACTCCATGGACAACATTCCTCCAGGCCTTCCTGTCCTCCACCTTCCCCTGGAATCCACTTAGGCTCACAGCGACTGCTTCAGTGGCTCCATCCAGCCACCTCATCCTCTGCCATCCCCTTCTTCTTTTGCTATCTATTGTTCCCAGCATTAGGCTCTTCTCCAGGGAGTCCTTCCTTCTCATTAGGTGGCCAAACTATTTGAGTTTCAACTTCAATATCTGGCCTAAGGAGCAGTCAGGGTTGATCTCCTCTAGGACTGACTGGTTTGATCATCTTGCAGTCCAAGGGACTCGCAGGAGTCTTCTCCAGCACCACAATTAAAGGCTTTAATCCTTTTGCGCTCAGCCTTCCTTATGGTCCAGCTTTCACAGCCATACATTGCAACTGGGAAAACCATCGCCTTGACTATATGCACTTTTGTCAGCAGGGTGATGTCTCTGCTTTTTAGTATGCTTCCCCATCTGTTTGCCAGGAAGTGATAGGACCAGATGCCATATCTTCGTTTTCTTAAAGTCACGTTTCAGCCCAACTTTTATGCTCTCCTCCACCCACATCAAGAGGTTCTATAGTTCCTCTTCACTTTCTGCCATGAGGGTGGTATCATCTGCATATCTGCATATCTACTGTATATTCATCAGGGATATGATTTAGGTCATACCTGAGTGGCCTAGTGCTTTTTCCCTACTCTCTTCAATTTAAGCCTAAATTTTGCAACGAGAAGCTCATGATCTGAGCCACAGTCGGCTCCTGGCCTAGTTTTTACTGACTGTATAGAGCTTCTCCATCTTTGGCTGCAGGGCACATAGTCAGTCTGATTTCTGTGTTGACCGTCTGGTGATGTCCATGTGTAGAGTCGTCTCTTGGGTTGTTGGAAAAGAGTGTTTGCTATGACCATCT